GTATTCGCCATTGTACTGACTCACTATCAATTGTGAATCAGAACAGGCGTCTATCTTTCTTGCCCCAGCCGCCTTGCACATGCGGATTCCGGCTAGTAAAGCTTCATATTCTGCCTCGTTGTTTGAGGCTTGAAAATTGAAACGTACATACATGTCGCCCTCTGGCGACTGACATATGACGCCTACTCCACAACCATTTGAGGTGGAGCTCCCGTCCACATATACCTTCCAGACTTGGTCTGGAACTTGAGAATCAGGGGGCCATGTCATTTCTACAATAAAGTCAGCAAAGGCTTGCCCCTTTACTGCTTTTCTGGGCTCGAATGTGACTTCGAGGCTCTGAATTTCTATTGCCCATTTGATCATCCGGCCTGACGACTCCATGGTTGTCAGTGGCCGCTTGATTGGTTGATCTGTATACACAACGACTGCATGTGCCAAAAAATAGGGCTTCAATTTTTTAACGGCCATGAAGAGAGCAAGACCGAACTTTTCCACTAAGGGATACCTCAACTCGGCATTTTTCAGCGCGTGGCTGACAAAGTAGACCGGGAGCTGGCATCCGTCTCTTTCAGCAAGGAGGACAGCGCTTAGGGCATGGTCAGAAACAGCCAGGTACATGTAAAGTACTTCTTTGGGCAAAGGACTGACCAGCCTCGGCAAGGAATGCAAGTGAACTTTTAATTTTTGGAAGGCCGCCTCGGCATCCGGCCCCCATTCAAATCTTGCCTTCTTCTTGATTGCCTGAAAAAAGTAAAGGCACTTATCGCTTGACCGGCTGAGAAATCTTCTTAGAGCCGTCAGACAGCCCGTTAACTTCTGAACCTCTCGAACGGTGCGAGGCGACTGCATGTCAATGACCGCCTGCACTTTCTCAGGGTTCGCCTCTATTCCTCTTTGATTGATGAGGAATCCGAGAAATTTCCCAGACTCAACCCCAAATACACACTTCTTGGGATTGAGCATGACATGGTGCCGCCTGAGTGTGGTGAAAGTTTCTCGGAGGTCCGACAGATGGTCTATTTGAAGCTTGGACTTAACAATCATATCATCAATGTATGCCTCGATGTTCCTCCCAATTTGGTCAAAGAAGACAGTATTTATCATTCTTTGAAAGGTGGTCGGGGCATTCTTCAAACCAAACGACATGACCGTGTAGCAATATAGCCCTTGATCAGTGACGAAGGCCGTCTTCTCCTGATCTTTTTTCCACAAAGGAATCTGATGGAAGCCGGAGTAGGCGTCCATGAAGCTCATCAAAGCATGGCCGGCTGTTGAGTCAACCAGACTGTCAATTTTGGGCAGAGGGTAACTGTCCTTGGGGCACGCCTTGTTTAGGTCTGTGTAGTCCACACACATTCGCCAGGTACCATTCGGCTATTTAACAAGCACAACATTTGCAACCCAATCTGGGAAGTAACATTGCCGAATGAACCCTGCGTCAAGCAACTTTTTAACTTCGGCGGCTGCCGCCTGACTCCTCTCTTCGCCATGGTTCCGCTTCTTCTGCCTTACGGGCTTCTTTTTCGGATCCACGGCCAGTTTATGTACCGCCAGGTCAAGACTGATGCTTGACATTTAATGAACTTCGAATGCAAAGATGTCTTTGTATTCTTTCAAAAGTTGGTGAAAATCTTCACCTAGAACTCTAAGAGCAGTCGTCCCAACCTTGACTGTTCGGTCAGGGCGCGAGTCGTCCAGGACCAGGTCTGTATGCTCACCAGCCGGCTGAGGGTGGAATTCGTCTGACCGCTCCTCTGCCAGTGATTGCTATCTTCTTTCTTTTCTTTCGGTCCCCAACTGGGCAGCCTTTCTTTTCTTGCCGCCTGCTTCTTGAGCAGGCGCATCCTCCTAGACAATGTCAGGATCTTGGCCCAGCGGCCACCACAGTGGGTTTGATATCCGAGAGGTAGCACTCGCGGGCCATCTTCTGATCTCCCCTTAGGGAGCCGACTGTTCCATCATCCTTCTCAAATTTGAGCAGCATAAGAGATGGGATAATGACAGCTTTTGAATTATTTAGGGTAGGTCGTCCCAGAATCAGGTTGTAGGCCGAGAGTTCATCAACTACTAGGAGCCGGACCACCATGTGACGACCCTCCCCTTTCTCACCCAGGCGGATGGGTAAATCCACTCACCCTACAGGGTGTACGACTCCTTCTCCAAACCCTACTAGAGGGTCGAATACCGGATGTATGCAATCAGTCTTGTATTTGAGCTTTGACAGACACTTGCTGCTGATAAGATCGGAGGAACTACCAGTATCTATGAGGATTCGACCAACTCTTTGGTTGGCCACTTTGCATTCAATAACAATGGGGTCATCATGCGGCCCCTTTACCCCTCCCAGATTTTCTTCTATGATTACAATCTCTGGGAATGAACTTTTGGAGGGCCGTTCTTGGTGAACGGAATTGACATCTAGCTGCCTGATATTGTCTTTATTGCCCTTGATGGTGGGGCCGCCTCCTGAGAAGCCGCCTGCAATGGTGTAGACGACTGCATCATCTGTATCAGAACTATCGGCCTGTTGATTCTTTTTGGCCGACTGCTTATTCTTTGAGGAAGTATTCCCCTTAGACTTCTTGACATAGGAGTCAAGGTCGCCTTGTTCAGCCAGACGGTCTAGATAGCGCATGAGACTGATGCATTTGTTGGTTTCATGACCAACGTCTTCATGATAATGGCAGAATTTATCTTGGTTCCGATTGCTCGCAGAACCCTTCATGGGGGCCGGCTTCTTGATTGAGATCCGGCCCTTGATTTCTTTGAGGATAGCTTGACTATCCTTGCTGAACGCATACTTCGGAGAGTATGGTTTGAACTCTTTATTCTTTTTCTGGGCCGGCTGTTTAGACGAATCGGCCGCCCAGACCTCTTTTCTCTTTTTATCATCTTTATTGGCCGACTGCTTTGGTCGGCCTTCTTTTTTGTCGAGCCTCCTTCCGTCCGACTGCTTTCCAGTACTACAGAGATCAGTCGCCTGTATATAGGCTTCTACTTCAATCAAATCTTCTTGAAGAGTCGCAACCCTCTTTCGAACCAGGTCAAACTTGAAGGTCGACCCGTCCTTGAGACCTCTGAAAAAGTCAGTGTAGGCCACCTCATCCGGTAGCCCTTGAATCTGTATCCTCATCAGGTTGAACCGCCTGATGTATGAACGGAGCCCCTCCTTCTCACCCTGCTGAATCGTCCCTAAATCAAGAGTCGTCTTCTTTGCAGGTATGTTCATGGCAAAGTTGGAGGTGAATAAGTAAGCAAGCGTCCTGAAGTTGTTCACACAACCAGTCGGCAGGTTGCCAAACCATTGTTGTGCGATCCCTTTGAGAGTCGGTGGGAAACACTTGCACCAAGTGGGATCATCCAACCCTTGGAGGTACATTAGGTTAGTGAACGCCATCAAATGGTCTTCAGGGTTAGTAGTGTCGTCATAGGCGCCTACTAGCACATTCTTAACTTTGGCCGGCTGGGCGGCCTCTGTAATTTCCTTGGAGAAAGCGGACGGCTGTTCTCCAAGTTTTAGAAACCGTAGTTGCCAATCCAAAGGCTCGACATTTTTTGCCGCCTGTCCTCCAAACAGAGGTGGCTGCAAAAAATATTGTTGTTGCGGTACAAATGGTAAGTTTGGTACCGCCTGGTCGTTATGAAATCTAGACCGACGGGAGGTACCGCCAGTCTGACTCTCTTGATTTGACTGAGTATACCGCATAGATGTATTGTGCAGACTATCTTGGAAATCTGAAGTGGAGGTCGACTCTGACAATCGGTCATTCTTTTTCTGCTCTAGCAATAGCCGAGCGTCTGAGTATGTTTTCTTTGACCCGTCCGCCTGTATATGACGAATGGGCTTCCTCTTCCCTGGTGAGGGAAAACGGTACTTTGTGAAGTCAAGAACAGGCGGCTCCCACTTCCTAGAGTTAGGATGAGGGGTCGCCTCTCGTCCTTGAACAGGTTTCCTTCTTCCTGAATGGGAAGGCTTTTTAGCCGACTGCTCTTTAGACAGAGCAGGGGTCTTCTTATTGATTCGTTCTTGGATCTCCCCCTTAAAGCCCCTCATGAAGGTCATGAGTTCGTTTCTTGTAATAGGAGCAGACCCTTCAGCCGCCTGCTGCTGATCAGGCGGTGTGCCGGCTGGATTACTGGGTCCAGCTTGGTGATCTACCCGTTCTTTCCTTTTAGTGTGACGGGTGCGTCGGGCCCTTAGGGTCCCGTCTGAGGTTGTGTGTGTTTCAACCTCAACCTCATTCTCAGTATCATAATCTGAGTGGACTTGAGGGTCGTCCAGTGGACGCCTCTCTTCTGGTACGGACGTTGATGCCATCTCAAAAGTACTCTCCCCACTGACGGCGCCAAAATGTTTTGGGGTTTTTTGATGTCCTGCGGGAGAGTTACAATTCCGAGACTAGAACCGGACGCCTGTACCTGCAAAACAAACGGAGACTCCGAGTGATTGGAGTTCCGCCTCCAACGGTCAAGTTAGTACTTGTTTAAGGAGTAATTAATGCGGAAAGGTAAAATGTGTTTCTCTAGGTGAGAGTAATTAATGAGCGTCCCCCTGTTTAATGAGGATTAATGAAGGTATTTATAACCTTGTGAAGCGTGCCAATCCTAGGTTTAGGTTAACCTAGGGCTGATTGGGCTTCCCTTGGAAGTTGGGCCTAGGTGGCCGATTTTTCCATTAGGCATGGAGGATGCCACGTGTCGTGACATAATAGGTCCAGGGTGGGCAAATAGGCGCGTGCCACGTGGAAAACCCTGACAGATCCAACTGAAGGACACTTGGCAGGAACAGATTGGCCCACGTGGCGCATTCCGATTGGTGGGAGCAAAATCCCTTAATCAGTAGCCAAGACAAAGAACAACAACAACCAGACAGTGAAGGTGAGGTTGATTCCTCACAAATGCAACAACAACCACAACAAATGCCACAACAACCACAACAAATGCAACAACAACCCCAACAAATGTAACAACAAATTGTATGCAGGAAGCAACTGTCAATGCAAAAGAAAAGGCAAATTGTAGATGCACTATTGGTGAAAATGAACAATGGTAGATTACCTAGGGGTCACTTGAAGCAGTTATCAACTCAATTTAACATACACAAATCAACAATAACAAGAATATTCACAGATATAAAGAAACAACTGGCAGAAAGGGACTTGATTGATGTCAGGACTAAAAAAATTGGCAGAACAGGGAGAAAGCCAATGGAAATTTCTGATGAAATTCTACAGTCAGTCCCATTACATTTAAGGCAGACTGAAAGGAGCTATGCAGGAGCACTGAAGATCAGTCATAGCACAGTTCACAATTTGAAGAGGAGAGGAAGGCTAAGAACATACACAACCTGCAACAAACCAACACTGTCATCAGACCATAAGGTGGCCAGACTAAGATGGATTTTGTCACACATAAATCCATTTACAAGAAATGAGGACCCCACATTTGTTGACATGAGGAAGGTCATACACTGTGATGAGAAGTGGTTCTACTTGAACCCTGATAAAAGGAGGTTTTATCTACTGCCAAGTGAGGAGGATCCTTACATGGCACTTCAGTCAAGAAGATTCAAGCTCAAGGCAATGTTCATGGTAATTATAGGGAAGCCATTATATGGCATAAATGGAGACATGTTACATGATGGGAAGTATGGCATCTTCACATTCACTGTGCAGCAAGTAGCACAGAAATCAAGCAAGAAAAGGGCAAAAGGGACTTTGGAAACAAAGGCACTCCAGAATATAAACAGAGAAGTTATTAGGGAGATGCTGCTCACAAAAGTTATCCCAGTCATCAAGTCAAAGTGGCCAGAAAGTCTGGCCAAGGATGTGGTAATCCAATGGGACAATGCAAGGCCTCACCAAGTTCCAAGGGATGCAGAGTTCATTGAAGCTACTACCACAAATGGCTTCAACATTCAATTTATTTTTCAGCCAGCACAATCACCTGATTTGAATGTGCTTGATTTAGGGCTGTTTAGGTCTATACAATCATTGCAATATCAGTCTTTTCCTAAAGACTTAGATGAGCTAGTTCAAAAGGTGTAAGACTCTTATGACACATTCAATCCAGAGGTTAACAAGTACATCTGGGTTACTTTGCAAAATTGCATGATTAAAATACTGAAGGCAGAAGGTGGTAACAAGTACAAGATTCCACATATGAACAAGAAAAAGCTTGAGAATCTTGGCATTCTACCAGAAATAGTTGTAGTCCAGAAGGAGGTAGTAGTGGAGGCTGTGGAGTATCTAAACACTATGTTTAGGCCAGCTAATCAGGGCAATGAAGAAGTCACCGAAGAATTGGAGATGGATGCAGATTAGGGGACTCAATACAAGAAAAAGACAACACATGTACTGCCACACATAACCACTTACCTATGTAAGTTTGTTTATTTGTGTTTTATTTCAAATGTTGAAGTACCAAGTGGTTAGGTGTATTTTGTTGATTACAATTATCAAAACATGTAAGGCAGTATGTTGTAAAGTCTTTAGATTATGGTATGGTCTTTTGTAATGTACTTTCTTAATTACTCAAAGGTACGCTCTTTTGTACCCACATTTTAAATGGTAGCAATGAATGACAAAGACAGACAATTTATGGGGCCATTCAATCCATCAAAGGGGTTTATAGTCATTATTGAATACTACTCTAATGCACAAGGGTACCTCAACAACAACAGCATTATGCATGTTGTTGGAGCAATTCACTTGTGCTTAGTGAAATTCAATGGAGTCCCTTCATCATGTGGATTTGGGTAAGGTGAATGTCAAATCAAATTATGGGACTCAAAACAAACCAGGATACAAAACCTATTAACAGGGGACTCCTTGTAAGGGACTAACTAGGCAACAATGAACATGTAGAAGATACCAACCTCATCATTCATCAATCAAATCCACTTAGCCAACATACTCCATCCCAAGGAACAACAACACAATCATAGCCACACAACCAACATGGTCCATCCCCTTTAACAACAGAACTTTCAAACAACACACCCAACATCATACATCCCAATCAACAACAACACAATTAACTCAACACAACCAACCTCAAACATAACCCAATTAAATGGCAGTCAACAACAACACAATCAACTACACACACCCAACACAATACATAAGCCAACATAGTCCATGCCAATCAACTCACTTCCAAATCATCAACATAAAAATCACTACGAATTGGAGTATTTGAAACCCAGTACATTCCAACAAAAGAAGAGAACAGGCAATTCATACAATATCATTAAATAAACTCAACCAACCCTAGTATCCACACACGCATCAACCCAACAAATTACCAATAGTACACAACAAAATAACATAACCCTGGGTAACACCAAAAACCCTAAAACCCATCATGCAACCAGATCTAGTCAAACATTCCCACAACAACAACCAAACAACAAAGCAAACCAATACAGTATGGGAACAATCAAATAATTAAGGAAATTTTTTTTTAAAAAAAAATTAAAGAGTTAGGGTTAGGAAGAGTTACGCAAGGGTCAGTGCTCAGCCTCCTCATCAGAGGAAAGCACGACGAAGTCTCGATCCGGCAAACCCCGAATACGCCTCAGAGCCACCAAGGCCGCCTTCCTACGTGGCCTAATCTTCGCCGGTGGCTTGGAAGGCTTAGATCGGGCCTTGGGAAGGGGCGCAACACTGTCATCCTCACTTTAGGACCCCAGATCTACATGAACAACATCAAAATCAAGCTTTTTTTGGCCACGGGACTCGCCTACACCCTCCTCCTTCGTTTTCTGCTCAGCCTCATCAATATTCTTCAGAACTTCCCCTAACGCCTTGAAAGTGGTCGGCGAACAACCGCTTGGCCCATCTTCATGCGCGTATAGGCGACGGAGAAAATCATCGCCTCTGTTGATATCATTAATGAGGGACTTGATAAAAGTGGCCTCGCTGTTGTCGTCGGTGCCAATATAGGCGTCAATTAGTGGATCAAGGTCATTCATGGAAAAGTGGGCCTCTGGTTTTGGAAGGTAAGATGAGGGAATGGGAGATGTCATGACGTAAACTAGAGAGGAAGGCGAAAGAAATGAGGAAGGCGACAGAAAGGAAGAAGGCGAAAGAAAGGAGGAAGATGAAGAACCAGATCTAGGGTTCTTCAGAAGACGAATCTAGATCAGTTTTAATCGGGTGGTTGGGAAGATGGAGAGTTGTGTCGGTTGGGAGGAATAAATGGAGGGAGTGATTAGATTAGGGTAATTTAGGTTAATGGAGTTAAGTGGGGGTTATGGTTAATAAGGGGTAAAAGTATTAAAATCTGAATTTTTAATTAAGGGTAATATAGTAATTTTCAGTGTTTTTTTTAACCCAAAATAGAAATAAAAGAGAAAGTTGCACATAATAGTGAGCGGACTAAAATGGCAAAAGTTGCACATAATTGGGTTTGGGGTTTGTGGTCTTAAAAAGAGTACATGAAAATATTTTTTTTATTAATGGTCTCATTCCATATTTGATAACGTGTCAAATATTTTAAAATGGATAAAAATGATAATTGTGTCAAGTATTATGCAACGGAAGAAGTATATATATTGTAGTCACAACTGATACATATATATAGTGATACAGAGTAGAAAAATAAAATAAAAAAAGTGGAGTAATTAGGCACGATCAAACAAAGTGAGTGAGGAAGTGCTAGAAAGAAAACACTCCAAACTTCACAGTTGATGACACCTAATTAAATCAAAATGAACGGCACCGGCGAAAACTCAACTCCGACAACCTTCGATCACCATGAAATCCAGCAAAATCCCCAAAATCCCAACCCCCAAATCCCAAACCCTAACCCTAACCCTAACAATTTCTCCCACTCAAATTCCCACCATTACCATCACATTTCTCAGCCCCAACAACAGCAGCAGAGCAACCGCCGTCCTCGAGGCTTCGCCGTCACCGCCGGAAATTCCTCCGGCAGCAGCGATGGTAAAGGGAGGAGAGAGAGAGAAAAGGAAAAGGAGCGAACCAAGCTTCGGGAGCGGCATCGGCGAGCCATCACGAGCCGCATGCTCTCCGGTCTCCGGCAATACGGGAATTTCCCACTTCCCGCTCGCGCCGACATGAATGACGTGCTCGCCGCTCTTGCTCGGGAAGCTGGTTGGATGGTTGAGCCTGATGGCACTACTTATCGATCTTCTCCTCCTCCTTCTCAGCTGGTTTGTTTCCGTTTTCTTCCTCATTTATTGTTAGTGGTGATTGAATAAAAATTGATTATGGTATATGGAACCCCAATTGCTGACTATGAGCATTAGTTATGATTTTTAAATGATGGTGTTAATTTAAGAATGCACAACAAAATCACGCGGTTGGTTGGTGCGTATTGATATTTGATTTAGTTTTCATTTATCAACCGTTGTCTCTGCATAAATAATTGGTGCGTAGAATTGTGTAAAAATCGAAACTTATTAACGAAGTAATATGCTTTGTATACTCCTAGGTTCCTTTTATTTGTTTTCTTGGTATTATTTGTTGGTGGCGGTTTTGAGTTGTCTTTGGTTGTTGAGTGAAAATCTGCAAAATTTGAGACTTGCAGTTGGAATAAAAGATGTTTGGGTGGTGGTGTGTACTCATCTTTGATTGGTTGTGGCTTTTGTTGGAGGTGTTGCGCTTTTGGTCTTCTAAAAATAAAGATTTAATCTGCAACGCATTGGATAACCTGATTGCTTGATGGATACTAAATGTAGCCTTATTAGAAGATAAAAATGGGTATTGCCTGTTAGGTGTTTTGTCCATGTTATATATGGGACATTAAAATAAATGAATAATTGATGGAATTCACGATGGTTTTGGCATCAGCATCTGTAAAAGTTGTAGGAACTTGAAGGTGACTTTTGTTTTGGTTTCTTGTTGTAGCAAGGCTCGTGCTGTCTTTTTATAATGAGCACAGACTGAGAATCTTGGCAATAACTTTATTTTTATAGAGAACTATCAGCTGTAGTACTTGTAAAGGAATTATACCTGATTTTGTATGGTATAATGACTGGCATTTACGGAAAGGACAAATTAAATGAAGCGCAAGGATTTCCTGGGATTTATGACTTTAGTGTGGTGAAAGTGATCAAGAGCTTAAGATTAAGGAATTAGGGAACAGAATGGAGAAAATGACAGCGAAGTTTTGTGCAAGGAGAGGGAAATATGGTGTTTCGGCACAGGAACATAATACTTGTGGAGATTTTGGTTCAATGTCACAATTAGGTGCTGGAAAGAGTATATAAATGAAATTATTGGAAATATATTAGTGATTTGTGGATTTAATACTTCTAGATTTCTTTGGGAAAAGTGTTGGCAACAACAAAACCAGAATCTGAGATGTTTCTTTATTTAGAAGTTTGATATCTGTAAGCTAATGCTGTCCAAAGACATCTTTTACCACCCCCGATTGATTAGAGTTGCCCCAAGCCCCCAAGGGATAAATGAAAATTTGTTTTTTCTCACTTTTTACCCTTGTTCAATTAGACCGGAAAAGAGCATATATTATGGTTAGACAACCTTACTACACTGAACTTGCAGATGATACAAGCTGATGATGTCTGTCCATATCCATTTCACTAACCTATAGTATGTATTCTCATTCTAGGTTCTTTGGTATTCAGTTCCATTTGTCTTTATGAACTTAATAAAAAAAGAAATCGGGGAAGAGAATTTACCAGTAATGGGATGTAATAGAAAAGGACTTCATCTGAGAGGTTGCTGCTTATTTTGTTCAGCTTTGCTTTTATTCTGTTTTGATTGGCAGTTTTCTGTTCCATTTTATATTCCGGTTTGCTGTTTTTGTTCTTGATTGACAGGTCATGACTCTTTTTCTTCTTTTTCAGTCTGTATTGTAAATACTGTTAAAAACATATGGATTGAAGCATGCAAATAAAATTGCCTATTGCTGTTTACAGTTGATTGCTGAGTCCAACCTGGTGGCTGTTCAGAACTGAATATTGAACGGGCCTGGGGAGCCTGAAGTATTATTAGTTTGCATTTGTTTATAATTTTATATGCTATGTTGTTATGATCATATCAAGATTGTTAGAATATCATTATGTTCCACTTAATGTGTAATTACTGGAGAAAATCTAAAAATACTACTTCCTCCGTAATAGTAATATTGCAACAACTGGACTTTTACACTATTTATTATGCTTGTTTGACCGCATATTATGATTAATATATTAAGTAAAATATATTCATGTGGGATCTTGTTAAATTTGTCTTGTAAAATACTTACACAATATCAACTTTTTATAATTTTTACTCTTATATAATTATACATATTTAACATATAAAGTGTGCTTTGGGATGCGTAATTTCATCTTTGTTGCAATATTAGTGGAACGGAGGAAGTATTACTTTTTGAGCAATGTCTCTTTTGTAGCACGCATTAGTTTCAATCACTCTTCTAGTGCAAAGGTCAATATTTGATCTGTTGGGTCTGTGCCTTATTGGCAAAGTCTTCCAGGTCTTTTGTCTGTGTCACTCTGTGAAGCTGAAAATTCCCTATGCATTTTGCTACAAGAATTACATGACATGTGGCATTTAGATGAATTAATTATGTTGACAGGGAGGGCTTCCTGTTAGGTCTTCTGAAAGTCCCCTTTCTGCTAGTTCTTTGAAGAATTGCTCCATGAAAGCATCATTAAACTGTCAGCCAGCAGTTCTTGGAATTGATGAAAATTTGTCACCAGCATCTCTTGATTCTGTCGTCGTTACAGAGATGGAAACAAAAAGTGAGAAATACAGCACGAGCAATATTGACTCACCTGAATCTTTTGAGGCACATCAGGTATCATACTACCTCTCACGATGCTTGTAAATGAATTTGCTTCTGGTAGGAGGAATCCCTGCCTTTTCTGTATCTGATAATGTGGTTTTATGGTTCAGTTGATACAACATGTTCAATCAGACTTTCGCGAGGATGATTACTCTGGAACCCCATGTGTTCCTGTGTATATTAAGCTCCAAGTAAGTGATACAGGGTTTTGCCCCTTTTTTGGTTGCATTTTTTTTGCTTATTCATTGATTACTTGCTGTGTTCCTTGACTTAATATTATTATGTCCTATCTGTTTTGTTTATCTTCTACTGATCAGATCGAATCTCTGGCTTAAGATATTATGCATTGGCCTTTGCAATAGCTTTCATTTCCTTTACAATATAGTTTCTGATTAAACTCTCGACGGTTATCTGATTATCTACATGTAATATAATTCTTGTATTCTATGGGCTTAACTATGCTAGAGTGGCATCGTCAACAGTTATTGCCAGCTTGTTGATCCTGACGGCATTAGACAGGAGCTAAAGCATCTGAAATCATTAAATGTGTATGGGGTCGTTGTAGACTGTTGGTGGGGAATTGTTGAAGGATGGACTCCACAGAAGTACATGTGGTTGGGATATCGGGAGTTGTTTATGATCATCCGAGAATTTCAGCTAAAAGTGCAGGTAGTTGCAGTTTTCCTTGAATTTTTTCATCATCATTATGCTGTTGTCATAATCTGAACCTTGTCTGCTATAGACTAGTGAAATCGAATAATTGATTATAAGAGAAAATCAGAAAACAGGGGAAAGGTTGGATATTTTTGATTGATATTTGAAGATAACGGCTACAATGGCAATATAGCTAAAGCTACTTCCTTGAGGACTACTTCACTACGCTACTACTACACTACTTACTACTTTCTCCAACAACATGAGAAACACTGTTACATTGCTCTTCCCTTATATACCAAGCTCTTCACCCTAACAAAAGTGCCCTAGTCATTAAAGCTTTTGTCATGTACTGTAACAAAGTGACTGCAGCCCCTTTGCCACACTCCTTAGTGGAGCATTAAACTTGCTTGTCTTCTTGTTGCTACACTTGCTGCTGTTCCTGATCTTGCCTCTTGGCCTGTTGTTTGTGCCTCCTTTCATACACCCGAATAGGCTGTTGAAGTGGATCGACCCGGTTCATAGCATTACTCCCCTCCCGGACATTCACCTTGTCCTCAAGGTGGAAAGATGGAAATCTGAGATTAATCATGTCAAAGTCCTTCCAAGTGGCCTCAAAATCAGGTGACCCATGCCATTTGAGTAGTACCTCAGTGCGGACCTTTCCCTCTTCTTCTTTTCTTCGCACTCCTAGAACTTCTTCCGGTTCCACTATGAGTTCCAAATCAGCAGAGAGCTGGGTAGGAATGGTAGGATTGACTGGTGTATCCCCTATTGCCTTCTTCAATTGTGACACATGAAAAACCGGGTGCACCTTGCTCTCCTCTGGCAGTTTCAAACGATATGCCACTTTGCCTATGCGTTGCACTACCTCAAAAGGCCCGTAAAAACGAGCAGCCAACTTCTCAAAGGGCCGTTTGGCGATTTTGTGCTGTCTATATGGCTGTAGTTTAAGAAACACCCACTCGCCCACCTCAAATTCCACTTCTCTTCGCGAACCATCAGCATTCTCCTTCATAATTTGCTGTGCACGTTTGATGTTCATTCTGAGCTCATCCAGAATTAAATCTCTTTCCAGCAGCCCTTCTTCCAAACTCTTCACTACAGTCGAGCCCTCTTTGTTCTTCCAAATTGCAGGTGGGTCTCTCCCATACACAACTTTGAATGGGGTCATTTTAGTTGTCGTATGGGGTGAGGTATTATAAGAATACTCGGCCCAAGGAAGCCATTGCGCCCAAGTTTTGGGTTGACTCGCCACAAAACACCGAAGGTAGGTTTCAAGGCACGTATTAATCACCTCCGTTTGGCTGTCCGTTTGGGGGGTGGTAAGAAGTACTTTGCTTGAGATGGGTGCCTTGTAATCAAAACAATTCCCTCCAAAATAGACTCATGAACACTCTATCACGATCAGATATATCGATGATGGAAAACCGTGCAATCAAACTATCTCCCTCACAAAGACATCTGCCACCTTTAGTGCATTAAAGGGATGGCGTAGCCCCAAGAAATGGCTATATTTAGACAAGTGGTCCACCACGACCAAGATTACGTTCACCTTCTTGTAGAGTGGCAATCCCTCTATAAAATCCATGGAAATGTCATGGGCTGTAGGAGACATGATGATTTGTTTCGCTGACATACTTCACAAACTCAAACATATTTCCCAACCTTCTTCCGCATCCGCCGCCAAAACCAATCAGTTGCAAGCCTTAGATAAGTCTTCACCTCTCCATCATGACCACCCATGGGAGTGTCATGGTACTCTTTGAGTAGTGTGGGAATAAACTTCGAAGTTTTAGGCACAACCATTCACCCTTTATACACTACTCTGTTGTGCCCCCTGCTCACTTGGATTCTCAGGGAGCTTTTGCTTAAGTGCATTCAGCCACGGATCCTCGGCTACCTCTCTTTCGAACTCAGCCCAATCCACTACTTGGGTTAAGATTAAAGCCCCAAACTGGACAGCACCCCCTCCTTTCTTTTATAGAGTGTCCGCCCCTCTATTAGAAGGCCCGGGTTTATATTGAATTTCAAAGTCCATGCCCATCAACTTCCTCATCCACTTTTGATATTCATTCCCTACCTCCCTTTGTTGTGTCAAAAATCTCAAACTTTGTCGATCGGTGCGAATAACAAAATGCCTTCCGAGAAGACAGTGTCTCCATTTCATCACCGCTAGACTAATAGCCATCAACTCCTTCTCATAAATGGATTTTGCTTGATTTCGGACCCTAGGAAACTTGCTAAAATAGGCTATAGGCTTGCCTTGTTGCATCATAACCGCACCTAACCCATACCCGGAGGCATAGGTCTCAATCACAAATTCCACTTGAAAATTCGGCATGGCCAACACGGGTGCGGAAGTCATGGCAACTTTGAGGGCTTTGAAAGCATGGCAGCTCCTAAGCCTTAACCGAAGTTATCCTTCTTCAATTGGCTTGTCAATGGTCCGGTAATTTGTGCATAATGAGCCACAAACTTCCGGTAGTAGCCGGTGAGGCCCAAGAAGCCACGTAGCTCCCTCAAATTGTCTCTTCCCACTCTACAATTGCTTTCACCTTGTCCATATCCATGACCACCCCGCTCTCCGAAATTTCTTGCCCTAACTACGCCACTTGCCTCTTCTCGAACTCACACTTCTTCCAATTAGCATACAAGCTATTCGTAGCCAATTTCTCAAGCACTACTCTCACATGTTCCTTGTGTTCTCCTTCCTCCCTACTATACACAAGGATATCGTCGAGAAACACCAAAACAAACTTCCTCTAGTAAGGTTTAAAAACCTCATTCGTAAGTGATTGGAAAGTGGATGGTGCATTCGTCAATCCAAAGGGCATTACGAGAAACTCGTAATGTCCCTCATGGGTGCGAAATGCCGTTTTGTGCACATCTTCCGATTTCACCCTTATTTGGTGATACTCGGACTTCAAGTCCAACTTAGAGGGCCACCTAGCTCCATGCAACTCGTCAAGCAACTCATCGATGACCGGAATGGGGATTTATCCGGCACGGTCTCTTTGTTTAATGCCCTATAATCAACACAAAATCGCCAACTTCGATCCTTCTTCTTCACAAGGATCACCGGGCTAAAAAAGGGGCTTGTAGAGGGCTGGATGATTCCGGCTTGAAGCATTTCTTGAATCAACTTTTCGATTTCATCTTTTTGAATTTGGGGGTATCGGTACGGCCTCACGCTAACTGGATCAATCCACCCTTTAAGCACTATAGCGTGCTCGTGATTTCTCTTGGTTGGCAGTCCCTCGGGCATCTCAAACACCCCTTGAAACTCCTACAGCACTTCGGATAGGAAGGTTGGTGGCCACTGTCCCCCTGCTACCTCCGTTTTCTCACTCTCCATCCTACTCAACTCCACCCAAATGCCTTGTTTCTCCTTGCATAAATCCTGACCAGTGCCTTCAGTGAGATTTGGGTCGCTTCCAACGAAGGGTCACTAGTGAGGGTCACCGCTCCAATCTTGAACTTCATTATATGCGACTTCCAATTCGTTGTTACTGATCCTAATTTCTCCAACCACTGCACACCAAGTATTAAATCCACATTTCCCTAACTTAAGAGGTAGAAAATCCTCTTTGATTGAGACTTCACCATTTAATTTCAACTCAACTCCGCTGCATACCCCTCTTCCCTTCACCATCTCACCGTTCCCCAACGCCACAGAAAATTCACCGCTTTTTGACACCGGCACCACCACCTCCGCCACTAGTTGGAGCGCAATAAAATTGTAGGTGGCTCCGAGATCAATCATTACCACCACCGATCTTCCCTCTAATTCCCCTCTTAATTTCATTGTCTTCGGATTAGAAATTCCGATGACTGGGCACAAGGATACCTCAACTTCCGCCTCACCCTCCGCGTCTTCTTCTAACTTTGCCGCTTCCTCTTCGTCCGCCACCGTAAGCACGCCCATTTCCTTCCTCCTACATCGATGGCCCACACTCCACTTCTCTTCACAACGATAACAGAGGTTTTTCGCCCTCCGTTCCTGCAATTCTGATTCTCTCAGCCGTCATGTGTAGGTGGAATTACGATTCTGCGAACTACTGGAAGTATTCGCCATGTTCACGGAAGCTTGGGATTCCAGAGGTTTGGTCCAAGATATTTGGACCAGTTGTGTGGTGGGGTACGCCATAGGTCTAGATTAGCCCAGATCCGCCGCCCTTGTTGAGGCTAGGTGGGTCGAATGAGTTTTGGGCCAGCCCAAATTTTAACCCACCTTGATGGGTTTTCTTAGCTTGGCTGGACCCGATTCTTCTCCTCGATCCGACCCGTCAACTCCATGGCTCCTTCCAAATTAAACGGGTTCAAACATCCTCAACACCTTTTTAATCTCTCCCTTAAGCCCATTAATAAACTGACCCAACATTAGAGTTTCAGGTATACCCTCCAACTAGCTCGATGTACTTCCTCCTATACTCCACCGTCCCAACCTGCTTTACCGCAAGCCATTGTTCATATAAAGACCTAGCATGAGACGGACGAAACTCATACAGTGGCCTTTGCTTGAGATCTGCCCACCCCATTATTGGCCTCCTCTTCTTCTCCCATTGAAACCACTTGAGTGTCGTCGTGTCCATCACTACCACTGACGCTTCCAACTTCTCCCTCTCTGTTAGTTGATAAAACATTTCTGCTCGCACTATCCAATTATCCGGTTCCTTCGAAAATAGGCATCTCCAGTTTCCGGTGCTTCCAGTGGCCGTCGCCGCCGCCGTCGTCGCCACCACCAGCCAGTTCCTGGGCTCGAACTGGTCCTCTTCGCCATGCCCTTCTCCACGCCTCTAAACCCTCTCACTGGAGTTCGGACCTCGTTCTCTCCTTGGGCTTAGCTATTTTCTCCGTCAAGGTGGAGAACCGGTTGAAATATTGGCGGTGGTCGATTAGCCTGAGCACCGGTTGCCGTTTTCCTCATCTCTTCCCGAAATTTCTGATTGTTTTCCTTCTCAATTGCTGCTAGCCTCTCATGGTCTGTTCAAAAGCGGTCGATTCTAGCCTCCAACCGAGTGGTGGTGTTGGCTAGAGCTTCCTCCGACTGCTTCCTCTCCGTCTCCAACGCTTGGGCCACGGCCGCATGCACCACCCTTTCGATGGCAGCTTCTTGCGAGTCAAACCTCCCTTTAATGGCTTTGAGTTGCGCTTCCTGGGAATCAAACCTCCCATCAATGGCCGTGAGTTGGGCTTCCAAGGTGGTGAGTCTCTCCTCGACTGCCTCCATCCTCACCGTGAGCGAGGTCACCATGATCGACCGCTCTGATACCACTTGCTATAGACTAGTAAAATCGAATAATTGATTATAAGAGAAAATCAGAAAACAGGGGAAAGCTTGGATATTTTTTATTGATATTTGAAGATAACGGCTACAGTGGCAATATAGCTAAAGCTACTTCCTTGATGACTACTTCACTACACTACTACTACACTACTTACTACTTTCTCCAGCAATATGAGAAACGCTGTTACATTGCTCTTCCCTTATATACCAAGCTCTTCACCCTAACAAAAGTGCCCTAGTCATTAAAGCTTTTGTCATGTACTGTAACAAAGTGACTGCAGCCCCTTTGCCACACTCCTTAGTGGAGCATTAAACTTGTTTGTCTTCTTGTTGCTACACTTGCTGCTGCTCCTGATCTTGCCTCTTGGCCTGTTGTTTGTGTCTCCTTTCATACACCCGAATAGGCTGTTGAAGTGGATTGACCCGGTGCATAGCATTGTCTTATTTCTACTATGTCCTTAATCTGCCTTGATCAATATCTACAAGACTACATATACAACAAAAACACAATATATCTCTGCTGCAAGCATGGGTCTGTAGAGGTTTCCCCTGACTAGTGTAGACTGCAGAAGAGGCTTGTCTTGAAGACCCATAATTGTTATGCTTGAAAGAGGGGGAATGTATGTTTGGATCACTGCTGTTAATTTTATTAAAGTAAAGCTGAACATACCTAAGTAGTAATAGTTGAAGGAAGATTGCTGTAGCTAATCTGAATTTTTTTGGGGCATAAGTGGATGGTATCTCTAGCATTTCAGGATTCACAAATCTCTGGAATAGGCAAATGCGTATATTTGATGACCACATTTATTTTAGATTGGCACCTTCAGGGGTTTTTGTTGTTTGCTGTGCTTAGATGTTCATATAACGTCCCATTCTATATTCTACAGTACCCCTTCACTCCAATCTGCTCCTTGCATAATGAAAACAAAAACAGTTATCTCATAAAATTAGGCTTGGGTTACGATGCTACACTTTGTGCTCTGAGGTTGCAAACTTGCAACATCAGGAGGTGTTCATGTTACAATCTGCCTTCTAATTTAAGGGGCGAGATTCCAGTTCCCTATTCACTTGTTATGCCTTAGGGTTGAACGGTTTGTAGGCTATCAGGGTGATGTCTGGGCTCTTTATATTAGACATATTCTACCCTGCAACCTCGTCCTGCTACTTTGCATTTGAAGGTGATGCTCAATGTATCTGGTTATTGTAGCTAGCAGTGATAGATTATCCAGAAGCCATCTAACTCTATCCTATAGCAACTGAATCATGAAATTTCTGAAGGTTGTGTTGGCCTTTCATGAGTATGGAGGAAGCGATTCTGGTAATGTTTTCATCTCACTCCCTCACTGGGTCCTAGAGATTGGGAAAGACAACCAAGACATATTCTTCACAGATCGCGAAGGACGGAGAAACACTGAATGTTTATCATGGGGCATTGACAAAGAACGAGTATTAAGAGGAAGAACTGGTATCGAGGTAATCATCTTGTTCCTTTTTTGTTTGTTTTAATAAGAGGAAGGCAGAACAATTTGTAACTTACCTCAATAGCATTCTGAAACAAACTGTAGGTTTACTTTGATTTTATGAGAAGCTTCCGTTCAGAGTTTGATGATATATTTGGTGATGGTCTTATCACTGCTGTTGAAATTGGTCTAGGAGCATCAGGGGAGCTGAAGTTTCCTTCTTTCCCAGAAAGATTGGGATGGAGATATCCTGGTGTTGGTGAGTTTCAGGTATATATTTGCTGATGCTGACTCTGTCCTTAATGCATTTCTTTAGTTTCTGAGTAATTCGTCTTAAGTAACCAATAAGGTTGAGTCTGGAGCGGGAATAAGCATCTCCTTGTTATGGAATTAGTGGCTTGTCTCAGGCAGGCGAACTTTGCAATATCATTAGAAAAATTTCATACTTGAAGGGCCCTTGTATTAGTCTCTCTGAAGTCTAAGTCAAAGCTTGGAAGTGACTAATTTTCATGCTAGAATAATGACATTGCTTTCATTGTGATGGCTCCATAGCTCATAGATTTATATTTATATGTTGAAGAAAGATTGTTATAGATTTGCAAGATTTCTTGTTATGGAAAATTCTTGAGAATTTCTTTATCGGGTTATGGTTCTCTCATGTCATCTGCTGCTATTTCAGTAGTTTGCTGTGCATGATCATCCTTTCTGGAAGGAACCTTGTATGAAAGGTTTGCTTCGATCTGCCCCTGTTAGACTATATCATCCTTATCAGTAGGTTTCTTTTACATCGGCCACCTGAAGTAATTATCTTCAATATTTCAATCTTACAAGAATTTAAGCCATTTAAGATGTGGATAAGACATATAAAGCACCATTAATGTATCAAGTGCTCAGGCCATACTGTTGGTGAGTCCTTGCAGAGCATCTTTCGACTTCTTGCATTGGTGCCACCGTGCCAGGTTAGTTGCATTGGCCTTTTATGCTTCCCAGGAAATAGTAATGTTGAAGAAAATTTTATGTCACACTTCTCTTTATTGTGAAACTACCATCTCATTTATTTACTACACCTGTATAATATTGTGAAAGCGTCTAGCTTTGAATGTATCCAAAGTTTGCTACGCTACATTCAATTAATGACATACTCGTGCCTTAATTTTATTCGTATGCTCATCTCAGTTTTCTTTCTCCTGAAATCAACCTGGACATGTGACCAAAAAATTTGATTCAGTGTTATGACAGATACTTGCAACAGAATTTAAGGAAGGCTGCAAAATTGCGTGGCCACTCATTTTGGGCACGGGGCCCTGATAATGCAGGGAATTATAATTCAAGGCCACCTGAAACTGGGTTTTTCTGTGAAAAAGGTGATTATGAAAGCTACTTTGGACGTTTTTTCTTGAACTGGTATGCGCAGATGTTGATAGACCATGCTGACAATGTATTATCATTGGCAAGCCTTGCATTTGAAGAAACACAGATTGTTGTTAAGGTAACTTTCTATTGTATATCCCCTGTGCATAATAAGCACAAGATGTTTTTGTACCTTTTTGCTTTTTAAACTCTTCCCCTTTTAAGCTTCTCTAATTTGACTTCAGATATATTATTGTTGACTATATCCATACCCTGCGGGCCTATACTAATACTTTGAGCCTGGGCCTCTATTCTTTGTAGCTGTTGTAGAGCACTTGAATTTCTTCTCAGTCTAGTATGATTGAAATTACCACAATGCTCACTGATGGCTTTACACTTTGCATTTTGATGTAATCAATAAGGTTGAGTCTGGAGCGTTAAGTAAGAAAACGATCGTGATGGAGTCAATAAGGTTGATCTCACTGGATTTGTCCCTGGCCTGTATTGTGATTATTATAAAATGCTACTGTGTATCAAGTGATAAGTTATTGATTGATAAATGTTTGAGTATTTTTTATTTCCTGGTCCGTGGACTCGTGGAGTCTTGTGCTGTGTTATCGAGTGCCCTGAACTATGTTACTTTGACATCCTGTTGTACATCACTACATCGGGTGTCGTGTGTCAGATCTTCCGACACTTTGACACGGCACCCAAATATATAGGAGTGTCATGAATCTACTTTTTAACGATTGGAGTGTCCTGTTCTTGATCAATATCTATTGGGCGTTAAATTTTATTCCTAGGGTTAGGAATAGAGCAAATGCTTTTTCTAGAATAGGGCATATTGATCTGTCCCACTTCCGCTTTGTTTGGATAGCAAAGAAGGAAGGAAAGGGAGGGGAGGGAAAAGAAAGGGAGGGAAAGGTGAGCTCCATTTTCCCTCCAAATCTCTCCAATTTTGGAGGGATTATGCTTATTAAAGAGAGGGAAAATGGACCCCTCCCTCTCCTTTCCCCTCCCTTCCCCCAATCCTTTACCCAAACAAGAGAATTTTTCCCCTCCCTTCTTTTCTTTTCCTTCCATTTCCTTCCAGCCAAACAAAGTATAGGAGTAGATAATTCAAATGATGATGTTTGACTTGTTTATGAATAGGATGATGTGCTTTTGATTGAGATTACAAGGTTTCATGCAAAAGTGGATTCATGGAAGGCATTGTTTCCATTTGGGGTTTGATAGCTGTATGTAACATCAAAGTCCATTGCGTTTGTGGAAGCACATGCATGCGTGTGTATGGTGCGGTGCAGTGCTGCATTTACCTGTGGAGGGTTTCTGTTATTCTGTATGCTTATATGGTTCAGTGAACTGGATTTCTCATGCCATCTATTATGCGAGTTGAGGAAAGGGGGAGAGTAGAATCAGGGATTGTAGCAGATGTAACAACCAAACCTATCTTAGTTAAAAAGTGATAAAATTTGCCACATGTGGTGGCTGACACGAAGCATTCCATGTGATGTTTCAAAATGTCCATAGTTTCTAAAAGTCCAAAACTTGAGCACCATATAGAATTCTCCCAAGGGGAACAAAGAAAGCTCCTTTGAGGCATGATAAACTTATAGATTACTGCTACTATAATACAATGTTGAATTAATTTTTTTTTTCCGTGATTTTTTGGAGTGGAGTGCCCTTCTCTTTACCCAGTAATTAATTTTCCATGTCATTCAAGCTATCCATGACATAAACAAGCTATCAAATTGGTCTAGAGCCTTCTAAAAATTAACTTTGAACATGCACTTACTTTACCTTGATGCATAATATGTGAAATAACAAGGCTCGACTCCAAAGTCCAAAGTTTGTGTCCAGACACCTGCATTTCAAGTTTATTTCACATACAAAACCCCAAGTAAAGAAATTATTTGATGGATTGGCAATCCTTTTGCAGATTCCAGCAGTCTATTGGTGGTACAAGACCCCTAGCCATGCAGCTGAGCTTACCGCAGGGTACTATAACCCAACAAATCGGGATGGATACTCTCCTGTTTTTGAAGTTCTCAGAAAGCATTCTGTGACAATGAAATTTGTGTGCCCAAGATCCTATATTCATTGTCGGGAAAATGATGAGTCATCTGCTGATCCTGAAAGTTTGAGTTGGCAGGTGATTGTTTTGCCTTCTTCATTGGCAAATTAAGCGGTCAAGTTCATTATATGGCATCCAGATGCACTACTGTGATTTCCATTAGTACTTTAATGATATAAAATCTTAGTAGCTTCCACTTTTGTATTAAATAATTAAACTATTATAACATATACAAGATCTGAAATACACACTGCTTTAACAGGTATTGAATACAGCCTGGGACTATGGTTTGACTGTTGCTGGTCAAAATGGTGATCCATGTTTTGACAGGGGAGAACACGTAAAAATGGTTGAGACTTCAAAGCCAAACAACGATCCTGACCGTCGCCATTTTTCATTCTTTGTGTTTCAGCTACCATCTCCTTTTGTGCAGAGAACATATTGTTTCTCAGAGTTGGACAATTTCATCAAAAACATGCACGGTAATTATTCTTGATAACTCAGAGCTGGCATAATTGACCTGACCAAAATGGAATTTGAATGTGATTTATTCCCGCAAAACCAAAGTGATTAAATCCAAATGACCAAAAAATTGGCATTAGACTTGCACCACTGGTTTATGGCAAATAGAAATTTTTGTTTTTTTTTTGGAATTATTATATATTTGTATGTAGTATTACTAGTATAAGTCTAAGAAAATTATTCTTCCATATCCATCAGGGTCTCAGTGGACTGTTTACAATTTTCAAGACACATGACTAACCAATACTTCCTGAATTGAAAGATACATATCTGACCAGTACTTATAGTGGCTGCACTGAGATTACGTAAAACCTATATAAGAATGAAGGACTCTGTTTCTTTGAAATTTGAGGGATACAGGTAGGTTAGGTATGACGATCAATGATGTGATTGCACTGAGATTAAAAAACACAATTGAAACTACTTCAGTGTTATGATGTGATTTGAGTTGCAGGTGCTTCTCTTGTGAAGTTGTAGTTATGTGAGTTTAAGGGTAAAGCAATGTATCCTGTGGAGTTGAAGTTATGTGAGTTTAAGGGTAAAGGAATATATCTTGTAGAGTTGTAGTTATGTGAGTTAAAGGGTAAATCATTTAATTTCAAGTTCAATTCAATTGAGAGTGCTTTCCTCGCCTATCATCTGTAAATTATGAATTATTACCCATTATTTATTTATTTTTTAATTTTTTATTTATTTATTTATTTTTATTTTTTTACTTTCATTCTTTGTTGACCTGCTGTAATGGTTGATTTTCCCTCAGGAGAAAATGGATGTCATCAAGAACCTGCTCAAGTCTAGTGTAAGGACTCCTTGAAATATGTCTTTTTAAGATGCCTGATTTGAACACAACCTAGCAAGCTTTCCTTGGAGCTCCTCCTTTGAAGATACTTTGCTCGAACACAAGCTAGCTGCTAGCAAGCTGAGATTTGGTTAGAAAACATGGTATGATCACAGTTGCAAAGTGCTGATGTAGAAGTGTAGATCTGAGGTGATGTGAAACAATATTTCAAGGAATGAAATTGAAAGTTTTCAAGTACACAAAAGCTAAGTCAGTCTTCTGTTTGGTTGGCCTGAACTATTTGTGTCTGAAATTTCTTTTTTCATACATGTCTTATACATCATTCTTCATCCTCCAGTAATTAGGAGTGTTACATGACTACATTCTCTTCATGAAATACCATGAGAAGATTAACTATCAACTTCCATGATTAAAGGATCACAATAATCTATAATTATATACGAGTAGGATTCTTCCCCTTTCTGTAACCATTATGTTCCTTAGAATCACCGTAGTGTAAAAATCCATTTGACTAATGCTCCATAGCCTCCATTTGACAATAGTATCTTTTTTGGATAGATCTTGAATGGTTGTCTAAAGCTTCTTCAAATAGGCTTAATAGAATAATAGCTCATAGATTCCAAAGCTTTTCCACCAAAGGCTTTGATTAAATATTGAGTCCGATGAACACAAATCCTTGGCTTGATTAAACTCGAGAAGCTTTGAAATGAGTTTATTAGGCTCAAAATTTTTCAAGTATCGGTTATATTGCTTGGGAAAACGAATTTGATACTTTTCCACCCCATTGGAAGGGACCGATCTAACTGCTAAATGAGCCAGTCTGATAATACCAAGTTTTGCGGACTTTAGGTGTGAGAAGAGAGACAGAATCCACATAAAGAAATCTTCAAGTATCTGTCCCATCTGAGTACTCTGCTTTGTCCTCCAGCACAGATAATAGTCGTAGATCACATTATTTATAAGCATTGAAATCAATTTTCTCTGTTGGTTTGTTAATCTTCTTCATCGCTGAATTATTGATGTTAAATTGTTGCCTGCTCCTTTGGATTAGTAATACAATGTTTTTGTTGGGGGTGATAACTGGAATAAGTTATATGGGAAATTGGGACAAGGGAGAATGGTTTAAGGTAAGCGCAAATTTTGTTAGCAGGTGTTTTTATTTCACCTCATTACATGATTGCATCAAACAATATACTTTAAATAATCTTAGTTCTGGGTGTTCCATTAATTAATCAGCAGCTCAACTCTCCAATCTAATCCCTGAACAATGTAAATATATTTTGTGGCTATTGCTTCCAAATTTCAAGCAAGTGTCCTGACACAGCAATCTCAGAGTATCACGAACATAAATCTTGATGCAAATTAGCAGAAGTGTGCCTTCTTTTTAATTCATGTAACCGCATCCACAACACCCTTTAGCGATTGTGGCAAAGGTCTGAGAAAATTAATTTTCTCAAAATTAGCAAATTTCTTCAATTGTGTGAATCTCAATGAACGAAGAGCTTCAACCCTTTTAACCACGAGAAAAAAAAGAATCTGGCAACACCATCATCCATCGCAATTTTCCATTAGCTGGTTGTTAAGCTGTCACTACATGCAGGTTACCTTTACACAGGATCTCACTCTCTCTACCTCTGAGAGTCACAGTACTGACCATAATCGCAGCAGCAAGGTCTTGTACGGACCTACACCATAAAAGCCAACAAAGTTATGGCCTGAAACTTTGCAAAACCGACCAGCAGTACAAGGAATCGTAACAGGAACAGACTTTATGGCAAACAAACTGCTTTTTGAATGCAGGGAGGGACGGAGTGCATGTGGATTATACAATTATATTTTAAATTTGACAAAGCTATAAGAGTAACATAAACTACATTAGCTACATAATTCCATGCTTAACATATGTAGAGGACAATAACCAAAGGGGTGGATAAATTAAATAGCAACGGACTATCTAAAAGTTTTTTCCTGCAAGCTTATACAAGAAAAAGTTTCATGTGGTCAATTGATGTAATTTTTAGTTCAGGCCAATAAACAGATAATTTTACATTTAACGCTCAAAGATTAAGCAGTACGCAAACTTTTGGAAAAGGGACACATTAAGTGATTTGAAGGCAACAAACATCCAAATTACAGTTAAATATGAAGTAGTATAAGATAGTTTTACAAGAAAAGGGAAAGGGAAAAACAAATACCTTACGCAGTGTGAAAGATACCCTTCTTGAGGCCCTTCGAATCAAGCTGTCTTTCACATTGTCAATCTATAGAAATCAAGGGAAGTATGAGGAACTGATAAAACAAGCTGAGCAAACAATTAGGCTATTTCTGCAGCACCTGGGAATCTGGGATAGACCAGCACAAACAGCAAGGATAATAGGGGTGATTTTGATAAAGATAGATTTAAACGTATATAGCATAAGTTGGGTCAGTTAGCAGATGGACCAGGTCCATAAGTTAACTATTGGTCATACTATAAACAAGATGATTAGTTAGAACTAGAAGACTGATCTCAACATAATAATTTCTAAAATGTTACATCCAACAAAAAAAATCATTTACTCAATCGGGCTTTTAAGGCAAAATTAAATGTCCCTGACCAAAGACAACACTGCAAGTTACTGGTCCAAAAACATAACTAAAGGAAAACCAAAACAAGAATGTTATCAACAATAGCAGTAACATTAGTTCGGAGGGTTGTAATCACTGTACAGAAAACACAAATATGAACATCTTAAATTGCTTTTCATGTTATAACTCAGCAGGGAATTTTAATTGCTCAAAAAGTGAATACAGAAGAGGGTAGCCTTTTCAGTCTTTCCAACACTAACACTAAGAGTGTGTTTGGATTGAAGGAAATAGAGGGAAAGGAAGGGAAGGGAAATGGAGGGAGGGAGTTTCTTTCATTTGGATAAAAAATTAGGGATGAAGGGAATTGGAGGGCAGAGAAATGGAGAGACTAAATTCTAAGAAAATGATCCCTCCAACAATGGAGAGATTTGGAAGGAAAACTCATCCTTCTTCCTTCCCCTTCCTTTCCCTTCCCTCCCCTTCACCTCCCTCCCTTTGTTTTCCTTCCCTTAACATTACCCAAACAAACTGTAAGTAAATTTGAGAAGCAATATGGAAAGGGGCAACAAGAAAAATATAGTAGAATTTTAATACACTGATAAGACTATTCAAGTAATTCTACTTTTGTTCAAACAGAAATTTTGGCAACACATATTAGCCTGTTCAAGTAATAGCCCCATATTACCCAGATGTCAGCAAGAGCAATTGACCACGGAAGTCAACCCATCTGAGATTTTTATGAAACAGTAAAAAAGTGAACCACAGAAAAATACATCCAAACTATTCCCCAGAACAGAGATCATTGAATACAAGTATAACGAGTTAACGACCTTTCCAATTCCATATGATATATGATGATTTTTGTGATACTAAGTCAACAGCAAATTAGTAAATGCAGCATAACTTGCTTCCCCTGATTATTACCTTATGGTGTGGGATGTAATGATGCCAAGCATAACGTGCCTCGCCTGATAATAGAAGGATTGACCGTGGGGGAAGATATATAGCTCTTCTTAAGAAGTTTGTGGAATTTTCAGGATTCTCTTCGTGCATAGTCTTGCTCATTGCAGGATCAGATTGCCAAATACCTCCTTGATACCTTCTGAATTCCATAATGCAAGGCCCTGCTAGTGAAAGACTGAAAATCTTATCCTCAAATGCTGAATGAGTATCAATATGAGGGGACAATCCCACTCCAGGTGGGTATTCATTAACCTGGAGATATACACCCAGGAACTTCAGTTAAACAAAAAAACAAAGATGAAGTAAAGCAATCACAAAAGTCAGAAATGAGGATGGTAAAATGTTGAAGCATACTGTTAACTGGTCCAAGTTTATAGTTGCAGCATCATCAAGAGAAGATGCTGAGATTCTTTCTAGCACAGGTGAAATAAATGATGGAAGTCCACCCAAGAACTTTTTTGTGTCAACATTTCTAGTCTGTCAACCAAAACGTGAATATATTAGAATAAACTTTGACCTAAGAAAAAGGTTGAAGAGACCAAAGTGTTGGAAAACAAGAAAAACATGAATAAAGCAAAGGGCTATAGTAGACCTGGCAATCCTGACACGACCCGTGACCCGAAATTGACCCGAATACGAACTTAACCCAACCCGACCCATACCTTATACCCGAATTGACCCGACCCGAAGTTGACCCGATACCCAAAGTGACCCGAAACCCGAAGCGACCTGAACTATACCTAAAATGACCCAACCCAAAATTAACTGATACTCAAAATGGCCTAACTGATTTTGGGCTTAATTACGTTACACTGATCCAAAATAATCTAAATAATACAATCTTGTGTGTATAGTACTGTTGGAATGTGCGTGTAGTTTAGTATTTGTAATTCATAGAGAGTTCCACTTGATTAGGAACACTTGTTATTGTTATTATTACTATTACTCTTCTATTTTTAATTGTTACATTGAAATTTTTTCCACTATTCACTTAAACTAATTTGAATTTTTGACCAATTAATTAATGATAGACTGATAGTGATTATACATATGAAATAATACAGTCTTGTGTGTATAGTACTGTTAGAATTGTCTAATGAATATTTTGTTAATATTCAATTGTTATACTTTATACTTATTGATAATTATAATACTCCCTCTGTTTCGTATTAATCACAACACTTTCCTTTTACATCGGTTTCATATTAATTGCAACATTTTTATATAAGGAAAGGACCCACCATTATTTTATAATTTCTCTCTCCCACTAACCCCACTTTCACAAATATTTTATTATTTCTCTTTCCTACCAACCCCACTTATACTACTTTTTTTTATTATTTCTCTCTCCTATCAACAATACTTTATACTACGGAGTATAAAAAATTCTCTTTTAGGCCCCACCCTATAAATTTTCTTAAACTTTGTAAACACCCTAGTGTTGCGATTAATACGAAACGGAGGTAGTATATTATTAGTCAAATTTCTACATTGACATAGACGAAGATTGACCCAACCCGAACTTGACCCGACAATTGGACCCGAAGACTGACGTGACCCGAATTGACCCGATACCCGACCGACCCGAAATCCGAATTGACCCGACCTGAACCCGGCCCGAATATTGGTTGACCCGGAATTGACCCAGCCCGTACCCGACCCAAACGACCCGTTTTCTAGGTCTAGGCTACAGTAACCATTAATGCAAAAAAAAAACAACTAAACAGTGACAAGTCAACAAAAAATAAGCAATGGCCGAGTTGAAATGGAGACACGGTTAAATGGTAGTATTCAATTAATTGAATTAGCAAATTTCACTGCAGAATGCAATGCACCTGAAACTAACACTAAGGCACATTGTTGTAGCATTATACAACTAAGTTTCAGAAGGGGTAATATGTTCAATTTCTAACTATAAATATGAGCCAAAAATTTCAGATAGCTTCAGAGCTCCAGTTGCATTAAACACAGCTTAAGTGATACGAGTAGTAAATAAACATATATGGAATGGCAGACTGGCAGTGGGAGGTATATCAGCATCATTTAAGTGCTATATTTTCAAAATGTTTCATGGAAGTGGCACATAATGACATTTTATCCAACTCTCTTTGCATAAACCATGTATACTCCATTCACTTCATAGTGAAAAGTGCAAAAGGAAAAATAAAAAAAATAAAAAAAAAAAAAACTCACATAGCCAAAGGTTATATAATGTGTTTTCTTTGCATAAACCTAGTACATTCCAACCTCCATTCTTAATTAGCTTTTATAAGTCATCCAAAGAATGCTCAATAGCCATGCGTAAGAAAGACAAGTAGATACCCAAGGTTCTATACTTTATTTAGGTTTTTTTTTTTTTGACAGATACTTTATTTAGGTTGAGACTTTATAAATTATAATAACCACAAATATTACAGCAGCAAAAAAATATAAAGTTAAACACTGATAGCCTTTTCAGAGTTGAATCTCAATGATAACCTGATAGCAGAACTCATAACCATAATGCTGAACTCTTCTTTTAGCAAGACTTATCCAGGGTCTCAAATCAACTGCTGCAAGTAGTTCCTAGGAGGAAAATTGATTAGCAAATGTATAAAAACAATAATGCAATGTCTTGTGTGAAATGTTTTCAAGTCAACAAACTACCAACCTCCTCTTCTTTTGGAGTAATGAAGTCCAGAAACAAGTGAAGGCCAGGTATATCTAGCTCTTCAGCAGTCAATGATACATCCACCATATCACGATCTCGTACCTGAAAACATGTGCACCTTAGCAGCCTTTAATTTAATCAAAATAAAAATTAATTGTCACAGCATATCAGTGATATCACCATCCATCTCAAGCACACATATATATACACACACAATCACTCATTTCCATTCAACAACACAATTACTCCTATATTACCAAACCTCCACCCGCCCCTCCAAATCCAACACATACACATATATCTACATAGAAAATATCATAACAGGTTCTAAAGTAGCATCATAAGTACATATTTTCTGTGTTGATGTATGTAAGCACCACAAGGTTACTCAGAAAGAGTCGAAACCACAAGCATTAAATATATTTCCTAAATTTGTACTCTGTATATGTTTAGGCAATCACAAGCCGATCAGTGTTATTAATGCTCACTTTAAGCTCACTATTTTTATTGAACTTCTTACATAAAAAGTATTAACCTTTAGAGCTCATTATATCATTTTCATTATTTATAACTTAAAAAAAAATCAGGAAAACTAAACCCTGAATTACCAATCAATAAACAGAACATAACCCATTTTCATAGATCCATATTCCATACAATCAAAGATTGCCCAAACCCCAAGTAATCATTACTCAAAACATAATGAAAAAGAACATCTTTATTAACCTCAATTTTCCAACAAACAACATGCTAATTAAATCACACCCACCAAATAAAAGCTCAAATAAATCAACACCCACAATCAGAAATCAAAACCCCAAATAAAAATATACTATAAATTACCGGCGAAGATGGGCGAGGTACAGAGAAGCGGATATGCAAAAACCGGTTAGAAAGCTGCGAACAACGACGGCCATTGAAAGCGGTGAAAGCTGATTGAGCTGAACCCTCGTCGAAAAATGAGACGATAACTCGCGTGCCACTGTCGTCGGCCGCGTGAACTCCTCGGACGACGCCGAATTGGCTGAACGCCGTTGATATGGCTTCGTACGAGAGACCCACTGCTGGGCCGCAATTGGCTACGTAAAGGTTTGAGCTCACCAAATTGATGGGTTTTTCTGCTTCTTCGCCATTGATTTGTGCTTTTGGGCGCATGAATTTGGGTGGACCCATTTCGGGGTTTTGTGATTTGGGTGTTGGTAAAAGTTTGAAAGAGAAATGTGATGGATTAATGCTCTTCTTCTTGATTTCTGGGGTTTGAGAGAAAGCAGTGTCTAATGAGTTATGTCTAATGACGACAAAGTTACACAACATGACAACACCATGTTTAATGAGCTTAATCCGGATTAGAGTCGGGTTAGGCTCTAATCAGGGAAATCTCTTATACTCCGTATTAAATGTTGCTACTTTTCTACATTTGAATCCAAGATTTTTGTTAAGATAAAAACAACCCTTTATTAGTTGATCCAAACACTTGTTGGTGAGTAAAGACACCATATCGTTCACGAACTATGATTCATATTAACCAACGACGATATATATCACCACCCCATTGCATTCATGGGCGAAGTTTAGTTGAGGCCTAAGAGGGCCAAACCCCCCGTGGTGTTTCGCCTTACTAGTGCGTTGTTATACTCGCTCTTATTGGGGTAGCATGGATGCATATTAGTCCAGCCCCCATCCTCAATCGGGCTTATTAGACCGACCCCTCTTCAGTCAAGTCTGATTTTGCTCCTAGTTGCATTTTCTCTGTAACTACCACTACCACCTGCCTCCCTTATTTCTTTCTCTTCCCCAAACTTAAGCTAGCACGTCCTCCACCCCTCTCCTTTCTCATTCCAACTCATCAAAACCACTCTTTTGTCTTTCTCCTCAACTCAATCAAAACCACTCTTTTGTCTTTCTCCTCAACTCAATCATTTCTAGGTAGCTCATGTCTCTTGCATGGCTACAATATCTAATTTGTTAAGCATGTGCTTGGGCAAAGAGAGTATGTTGTCTTTTTATACACATCATTATTTCTATTTTTTTAGGAGTTCAAATACTACGACACGTTATCTATGTACAAGTATTAATTTAGGAGATACTTTAGATAAAAATGCTCCAAAATCCCTTAGGCCTTACATTGATATCCAATTTACTTCCCTAATATCCTTATTTTTAATTGTGATTTTCTATATTTTACTTTAGGCTATAAAGTTGGAGATAAAGAAAAGCACTTGGGAATTTAGCAATGGCCTCCACAAAAATTTATGTAGGACATTTTTAGTAAAATTGTATATAAAGTGATAAAAAAATTTATAATTCTTGTGGGATTGTTCATCATAATTGTTACTACTACATATATAAAAATGTTGTTTGCAAATTCAAAATTCTTCAAAGTAATTCTTTTGGCATGATGTTTCTTTGAAAAAATAAAGAGTAAGCACGATTTAAAATTTAGTCAGACCAAAATAAACCTTAATAAACTCAAAATACACATGATTTATTATATATATATATATATATATATATTTTTAATTTTTTTTTTTCTGTTTTCATGTAAATAGAACAAAGCCTGAAACAATCTACTTTGTATTATTTTCCGTTTTAATGATACACTTTATTCTGAATTCCTTACCTCCCCCCAATTACTTCATTATAAGTTGCTTACTTTATAAGTTTTGATAGAGAAACTCAGTGAGACTGAAAGTACTATACATGATTTTACGTGACTATAAATTTGTAGTCTCTCATACCTAATTATGGTATGAAGCAAACTAAAAAGACAGATTACTCTCGACCTTATGTATTCTTAGAAGAACATAAAAAGGGTACAATATAGGTTATTTATTCATTTATTCATCAATGTATTTTAAATAATCATAAGATTTTAGTGTCAAGTGATGAGCGCAAATCGTCTGTGTGACACCTGAATTGCCTAGACTTGATGTAGGCCAACCTTCTCCATATGAGTGAGCAGCAAAGCAACAAGCGCGAAATATCACTACAACCGAGGAAATAACATGCAATGACATTTATGCATCAACACTAGAGCTGTCAGTTTCTGACCCGAACCGTTAAACTCGACTATTTCAAACCGATCCGAAAAAGGAACTGAACCATTAAAAACCCGTTTTTTGAAAACCGAAAACCGACCTGACCCAAATTTTTCTAACCCAAAACTGAACTAACCGAATTTGTGTGAACATTTACTAACCCGACCCATTATCAAACCAAACCGTTACAATCTGAAACTGAAAACAACCCGAATCAATTACGTCTGAAATCGATAGTAACCCGACCCATTTTAAAGTGAAAACTGTTTAAACCCGGCAAAAGTCCGATAAACTTGAACCGGTCCAACCCGTAACTCGTTGTGACCGAACCATTTATAACCCGTAACTCGTTGTGACCGAACCGTTTCCAACTCGTAACCCGTTGAGAGACCGAACTGTTTACGACCGGTAACTCGTTATGACTGAGTCGTTTACAACCCGTAACCCAATATATATTATGACCTAATTTGTTTCAACCTACTACTCGGTAAACCCAACTTATTTATGACTTAACTTGATTATAACATGACCGTTTCCTACCCATTATCTGACTAACTCGACTCGATAATGATGCGACTCGATTTTAACCCAATATGATTTGGACTAAAACCGCTTCAAATTAGGTAAGCCCTTTTTCAAACTGACCAAGTTCAATCCAAACCGATTATGACCTGAACCGGTAATGACCGGACCCCCGATTTCACCCGATCTGTTTTGAACCGAAGCCCATTTTCAAACCGACCCAGTTTAACCCAAACTGATTATGAGCCGAACCGATTACAACCCGAACCGATTAGAACCCCAACTGTTTTGAACCGAAACCCACTTTAAACTGGCTAAACCCGTTTTCAAACCGACTTGGTTCAACCCAAACTGATTATGACTTGAACAAATTACAACCCGACTCGATTAGGACCCGACCCCAATAGAAACCACAAAAAAAAAAAAAAAAAAACAAACCGAACTGACCTGATGATTTTCAAAACCAACCCAAACTGACCCGCTAATCATTTCAACCCGTTATAACCCAAAACTGATAAACCCAACCCAAATCCGAACTGTTTACCCGAATTGACATCTCTAATCAACACACAAACACCGGAAATTGCCTCATATGAGACTTGTTGGCAACTTGAATAATAAACATCACGTCCACAAACTCCACATAAACCCGATCCAAAACTACCAACCCACTCAGAATAATAAGATCCATTTTTAAATTTTGGGTGGGTTATTTTTAAAGTATTAGGGTTAAACCATTAATAATAAAGAAAATTGAAAAATCAGAAATAAGACCCACTCCAAAGCAGAGAAAGCACACCTTCCTCATCTTCTCTCACATTTCTTCACTTTCTCTCTCCTCCTGGTCGATCTCACTCGCGCGATCTTCTCAGTGGGTTAGTTTACTTTCTAATTTTTCTGGGTTATTAAATTTTTGGGTTTTCGATTTTTGTATCAATTTCAAGTTTTAGCTCGTCGATAGCTTTGTTGAATTTGTCTTATGTGCTTTGATCTTCGATATGACTTTGTTCTTGATTGATGATTGATGGGGTTGATTTTGTGTTTTAATTGGTTGAATTGATGGATAAATGTGGGCTGATTTGGCCGATGTTTGAGGGATTTGATTATGTTCATGATTGAGGGATTTTGATTTGCTGTTGTAGATTCAGAAAAGTGATTCTTAAATTGGGAATTTTGCTTAGCTTTGTCTAGATAATAGATTGATTAGCTCGAGGGATTTGAATTGGAATTTTCATTTGGGAATTTCGTTAAATATTGGGGGTTTGTGCCCACATTTTCTGATTTTAGGGTTTGCATTTGAAAATTGAAATGATGTTAGCTTGTTTATCGTCTTTGACAAAGTCACGATACGTATGTAGGTTTTTGTCTGATTACATTTGTGGGCTTGGGGTTGGCATCATCTTGGAGGTCTAGAGCTGAGAATAGCAGCAAATGAAAGAAAAGTAAAAATGATAAGCCGAGACAATGTATCGGGTTTATCTTCATTATTGAGCTCAAGTATGGGAAATGCGTTAAATAGCAAGGGTTTGCCCCTCAATTGCAGTGGAAGAAACTGATTTAAGCGGGGGTGGGGGTAGAAAATGAAAGGATTCGGAAGATTATTGTTGTTCGGTTGTTCTGTGTCGTATTTTGAACATGTTGTTTATCGATTTTTGTTGGAGTATTTACTTTTTAATCAGTTTATATCTGACGGATAGGAAGGACCTTTTGTTGGTATTATCTTTTTTTGATCATTTTGTATTGGTACTGCTAGTTAGCTTCTCATGTTTTGGTTCATGATTTGGATGCTTGTATGGTGCTTATGAATGTGCTTGTTGTGATTGCAATGGGGACAGTTATAGAGTATTGGTGAGGAAAATATGTTTTGTGGGTTTTTGGGCTAATCTTAGTTGTGGCATTATATAATACGAAGAATATGATTATCCAAGAGTTTGGCGTCTGAGGATTGAAGAGGATTCCAAGATTGGCAATTATATCATATATGGATAGGATTCTCATGAAAATGGGATTCCCAGATCCTCTCGTGAAAATTTCTCCCTATTTCATGCGGATACTTTTCGTCAGAAATGCTGCAAACACTCTATTGTGGTAAATATTCCTTGATTGTGAGATTTAAGCTATGAATCTATCTTGGATTATACCGAATAATTTCATTATGCAGGGAGCCTTATATGGTATAACTGCACCTGTGCTTTTTTGCTTGTGTTAAATATGTAAAAAGTCTATTATGGAGCTTGGTTATGAAATTGACTCATTTTTTCAATCCTATCAGTGTTCTACTCACATCTTGTCTCTCTCTCTCTCCCCCCCCCCCCCCCCTCTTTTTCTCTCACACTTTCCATGTCTATATTGTTCATGCCATCTGAACTCATGATATACGATGCTAAGATGTTGTTATCATTGTGTGTTTTTGTAGTTTTGATTTCAATGGCATCAATTGCATCAAAGCTTCGTCAGTTGCAGTCCAAGGCTTGTCAGGCTACCCAGTTTGTCTCCAAACATGGGGAAGTCTACTATAAGCAGATGCTAGAGCAAAACAAGGAGCACATTCAAGAACCTCCAACTGTTGAGACATGCAATCGATTGGCCAAGCAATTGTTTTACACTCGTCTTGCCAGGTGTGTATACTAACAGAATGGATGTTACAGAAACTCATAGTGTCTTAATGTTGCTGATGTTTGTTGTCTTGAGGGATGAATCATAATGGTTCTTTATCATCTGTCATCATGGATAGGATAGGATACATAGGTTATATTCTGTTTTATATAAGCAGGTTAATTTTATCTTGTGAGTTTGAATGGGATAAGTAATTCCATGATACTCATTGATCTCTTAAATCCAAGCAGGCTAACATTACCTTGAATATATGTTTGCAATATGTGTAAATAGACCTTGTATATAATTTTGAAATTCATGTTAGCCGACCCCAAATCATTTTGGGACTAAGGCTTTGTTGTTGTGTATATAGAGTTGTTAGTAATTATCTGGTTACAAAAGAGTGATTGTTCTTAATAGACTTAATAGTGATGTTGTTTTGCTGTGAGTACTTGCATTATTCAAGCCACTGAATTGGACTGAAAAAGTGAAAATGTAAATGTGTGGGCCTCGGTGAAGTTGTGGTCATATTTTGGTATCTAACATATATACAGGAAACAATGGAATGGATGAATTTAAATTTGTTCTCATTAGACCAGATAAGTTTGGCCGCTTGTGAGGGCCTTTATATGTGTGTCTAGTTTGGCTTTGGCTTGTCAAAGTGTCATTTCTTGTAGTGTTTATGGACTAAGCAAAGTTTGTTTGGTGTTGAATGATGAACTTTGAGTCCCAACTTCGGCCTAGCTCCTATTACGTTCCCTTTTTTTGACCTTGGGTTTTATAGTTTTTAATCTTGTGTTTATACGGCAATCCTTTTGCAATTATAATCTTTGGGGTGCTTTTTATCTTGTCCTCTATGATTGAGTCTGTGGTTTTAATATTTATAGTACTCTTATTAATTTTTAAAACAGGTCTAATTTGCTGATTGCATATTTGCATATAGAAATACTGAAGTTATTGGATTTGGGTTCTTAAGATATTATGTATATATTGCATATTATGTGTCACAAATAGTGGTCAATGTTTGACCTTGCACAAGTCACTTGTTCCAAGGCAGTTTGATCCTATGATTTTCTCTTGAGACATGGTTGTAGTCTTGTAGATTTGTAATGCATGTCTAAGATGGTGTATGTTTATGACTTCCTCATGAAAGGTATTTTGGAATTTCTTCATTTTATGGTATTGTTACATACTTACATGGGATCATATATATCAACTTACGTTGTCGATCACCTTAAAACTGTATGACTATCGATGACCTTTACCATTAAAAGCCTTGTACTGTGTGTACTTATTCAAATGTCAGAAAGCTGAGGATTTGATCACTGACGTGTCTGGCTCTTATTGTTGATGCAGCTTACCTGGTCGTCGTGAGGCACTCCGGAAAGAAGTTGATCAAGTAAAGCAGGCATGGCAGAACAGGAAGGACGTGAAAGTTGAAGAACTTGGAGTCGCAGCTTTGTTTGGACTGGAATGCTTTGCATGGTATTGTGCTGGTGAAATCGTAGGACGGGGATTCACCTTCACTGGCTACCAAGTTTAAGTTGAACGTCCACATTATGTGACTTGCTTTGAGACAAGTTGCCTTCTTTCCATTCTCTTTTACCCCCAAGTGCGTAGTTGAGTTGAAGATTTTTGAGAAAAACCAGACATGATGAGGATTTTTGTAATCGAATCAAAGGGCTGAAGCTCAATTCCCTTTGAAACATGTCCCTCTTCCTCCCTCCCATTTAGATGATAACACATAAAAGGCAAACTTTATATTCTGATATTTGGCTGCTGATTGCTGGTAAATGCAATGTATTTGACATTGAATGGCTTATTAGTGAATAACTATCTTCTTCAGGTCTGGTGAAAAAGGTGTTGTGAAAATGCATATGGAGACAAATCCAACAAGGTCTCATATATTTATATAAATAGTTATGTTTTTCTCATGTATAAATTTTTAAGATGATAAAACTGGAGAGTATGTGAGTAATGCAAAACTCAAAAAAGGACAACCGAAAGAAATAAGCAGGATCTCATATTCCATTGTACTAAGGGGAAGTGTTTGTTGAATAAATCCCCCACAGTTAAACGTTCAAAATTCTTGTTCCTTTTCATTTTCAACCACAATCTTATTGTCCCCAAATCACCACTGTCAACAATCTTTCATTTTTCCTTTGACCCTACTACGTTGGGCTCACAGGCTGCTGCGATTGCAGTCATTGGTGGTTTGGTACCACTCACAAGACTAATCAATTCTTCTAGTTTGCATCCACTTGATCTATTAGGGCATGACTAATACTTAAAAGCAGGATAGCAGCAAATGAATTGTAGAAAATTATTCAACAATAATAATTTTCAGAAACTGTAACAAGAACAGAAATCTCTGTTCCAATTTTTATACACATACATGTTATAGATGTATACTTCTGAAAATCGACCATCCAGAGACATAATAGACTATGTATAGCATTTGTCATCATTTGAAAGCTGAGCAAGAAATCAAAAGGAAACAAGCATCCTCTTAAGTCCATATCTATGATTATCCTCTGCAGTCAGTTTTGTGTATCCTGTATCCGTCTGGTCTCAAAAACCTGGTAAGTCTTCTATCGATTTCTACAAAAAGTTGTTCCTAAATGCCAAGAATATCTTTGGGGGCAAAAGCAGGAGAAAGGCCACCAGAGAGCCAAAAAACAATTTTACGAATAACTTGACCGGATCAGTATCAACTTCTTCAGATGTGCTGGTTGAGATTGCAGTCGCTGAAGGTAAAGCTTCAGTCACAGCATCAGCTAGATCGTTGATGAAAGAAGAAGTGCAGTTGAGAGCAGGAACACGACCCCAATTCTCAATGCCAGATCAGTCAACAATCCAAATAGACATTACTAATCAGACAATATATATAAAGCAAAATTAGTTTTTAAGTATGCCAACATCAGTGCTTTTACATGTATATTTCAATATTACCATTACCATAGAATAAGGTATTGCTCACTGGATTTTTCTTCAAAATATTGCGGAGTCCAAACAGAATCTACTACAGAGTACTCTAAAATTTTTACAAGTTTCCTTATAAATAATCTTGTACAAAAGCAGAGAACTGCTACTTATCAATGAAAAACAGCATCCCGTAATGAAAGAATGATAGCATAATAATAGTTGGTTAAGCATAGACAAAAGAAAGCTTGTTAAATATTTGTGACTCACCTCACAGGAGCAGCCAACAGACTCTTTACTCCTCTTTGGCCAAGCTCAACAAGAACTTTATCAGTTTCGGCCATTGCACGGGACCAACTCGACTCTGAACAAGGAGGATATGAGAAATATATATTATTAGCCAAGTGAACACGTAAAAGCACAACAAACAACTCCATGGTATATTTATTGGGTGGTGAAGACACAAGAATATAAATGGGAAACAAAAGCAGCAAGGAAAGAACTAGCTGAGATTGGAAACCATGCAGGCTCATAGCAAACCTGGTAAGCAAGTGTATGACTGTTATTGATTCCTCTAGCTTTTAATTCTCTCATAATTAAGAAGATGCAATCCTCCATCTGATCTTTGTATGGATCTCCAGCATCCTCAACATAACTAACTGGCACACCATGAGCGCTGAAGAATATCATAACCTATATATTGGTGACAGCAATGACAATTAGTTACATTTATCAGTTAGAAACATAGAATGCCAAAAATTTCAAAACAAATCACCAGGTGCAATGAGAAAGCTAGGGTGTACATTTGAATGAAAGAGCCTAACCTACCTCATCTGGCATTGAAAAGGATTGAAGCTCTTTCTCAATCAAATCAGCCATGGACTTTATATAACCTTCTCGCTGGTACCAGGATCGAATGATAGCTAAAGGCAAGCGAGACAGATATGCATCTTCCCTGACAATGTTTAAATATTGGTAAGCCAATAGAGTGTGGAAACATATACAGAGTTTTTCAATTAGGTCCTAAAGATAAGATTACCTGAAAATGTTTTGAAGAGCTCGGAGGTTGGAACCTGTCGTACAGAGGAAGGACAACAAGTCTTGTAACCTTGTCCCTCTTAATCTGAAAATTAAACAAAGAAAAATTCAACAGTGTTGCTCCAACATATTTTTACATAGGACTGCAGGGTACAGAAAAAGATATTTGGAGCAGACATCATATGAACACAAGCACAAACTCCAACATATAATATTCATAGAAATGAAACTGTAGACAGTAGAAGGAATATAAAGAAAGAGAGCCTCCCACTAAGCAGAAAGGTAATAAACAGACCTTCCTCATAAGAACGGCAGACAAACACAAATTTACATAATTAGCACCACTTTATACAACACAGGATGGCACATCAGAGCATTGTACCTCATGATTCTTATTGTTACACTATATAAGTAGCACAGTAGTGGGTTATAAATGTAGAATAAGTGTATTACATAGTTTACGGGTACGTATACACATATGGTTATAATTGGTGAATCAACATACAGTTCAGTTTCTAGAGACGGTAAAGAGCAGATCATGAAAGGGAGTTCCAAAACAGAGAAATGTTTTACTCAAACAAGTGATTTTGGTACAGCAATAACTAATGAGAACAATAATGAAAACGAACCTGTTGAACCGCCTCTTCTGTAAATGGGTACCAGTACCTCATACCAACATAGACAGATACATTCTTATTCTTTGCTTCTAGTGCCAACTTAAGTGCATTTGCCTTCAAAACAGAGTTCAATACAAATAAGACTTGGCAATAATGGAATTACACAATCCAAATACAAATAATTTATTAATGATATGCTAGAGCCCTAGCCTACTCTGCCACTACCAAACTGCCTGAAAAAAATCAACGTTCTGTTCAATGGCTTTGAAAGTCCAAAGCCCCTCCAAAACACTCCTTTTCCATGTGGCTCACTTGGTGGGATAGGATACCTCATACATAGCCCCTTGCACGAAGAGGAATTGTCAGATTCCATGTGCTCTCTGTCATAGTACAGAGGAAAACTCTATCCATGCTTTGCATGATTAGTGAAGTTTGGCAATATACCCTGGGGTGTAATTCATAGGAGATAACAAAGAATGGTTGGAAGTGAACCTCAGAGATAAGAATGATGTTCATGGGCTGTAATGGTGTTTTCTATTCCCTTTCTTTTGCTTTGAGTTATGGATCAAAGGAATAGGTTCATTTTTAAACAAAAAAACCCATGACTCACCACATGAAACTGCAAGAAAAGCCATCTCTCTGGCCTGGGAATGCAAAGCATCTAAAACATTGCCATTTCACACACACCGCTGCCATGCCTATGGTGGGTATGTACTCAACCTCACCTCACCTCACCTCACTGGACTTATGTAAATGTGGATGCTTCCTTTGTTAATATTAATCTCCCTTCGAGTATATCAGGCACCTTCAGGGACAACAATAAATTGGATCAATGGTTTTGACATATTGATCTATGCAAACAGCCTATTGCATGCAGAATATCTAAGCATTGTTGACGCACTACAGACTGCAACCAATCACTCAAAGCCTTAATCCCATAAGAGGGGTCGGCTACATGAACCAAATTTGATTATTCCGTGTAGTCATCCACAAAAATCTTCCTCCTCCATCCCTTACGATCCAATGCTTCATCCTCATGCAAATCCATATACTTCATATCCTTCCTAGCTCCTTCCAACCAAGTCATTTTCGGTCTCTCTCTCCCTCGTTTAACCCCTCCATGGTCCCACTCTTCCATTCTTCGAACCGGTGCACCCTCGGGTCTCCGTCTAACATGCCCAAACCAACGTTTACGATTTTCCCTTAGTTTGTCTGTAATGTCTGCCACACCTACTTTCTTGCGAATAACCTCATTTCTAATTCTATCTCTTAGAGTGTTCCCGCACATCCACCTTAACATGCGCATTTCTGTAACCTCCATCTTTTTAATATGCTCTTTCTCAGAACCCTAACATTCTGTACCATAGAGCAACACTGGTTTAATGGCAATCCTGTAGAATTTTCCCTTTAACTGTAAGGGAATGCTTCACTCACATAACACTCCCGTGGCTGCTCTCCATTTAAGCCACCCCGACTTAATCTTGTGGGCCACGTCTTCATCAATGTCACCATTTTTCTAGATGCTCGACCCAAGATACTTAAAATATTCACTCATGGTCAACTCCTTTCCATCCAAACTCACCATTTCATCACTTGTCCCCCTCTGAGTACCAAAGCGACATACCAAATATTCAGTCTTACTCCGACTTAGCTTAAACCCTCTAGATTCCAACCTTTGCCTCCATTGCTCCAACTTGGCATTAACCCCATCTTTAGTTTCATCCACCAACACGATATCATCCGCAAACAACATACACCATGGAACCTCATCTTGAATTGGTCTAGTTACTTCATCTAGAATCGTTGCAAAAAGGAAAGGGCTTAATGCAGACCGTTGATGCAATCCAATTGTGATAGGGAAATCCTTTGTCAACCCTCCACATGTCCTCACATTTTTTGACACATTCCGATACATATCCTTAACCAGGTCTACGTACCTTCGTGGGATACCTTTCTTCAACATTGCACCTTGTCATATGCCTTCTCCAAATCAATAAAGATTGTATGAAGATCCTTCTTCTTTACTCGATAAAAGTCCATCATTTGTCTTATCAAATGGATTGCTTCCATAATAGATCTCCCAGGCATAAAACCAAATTGGTTATCCGACATGCTTGTGCATGCCCTCAACCTATGTTCAATCACTCTTTCCCACAACTTCATAGTGTAGCTAATAAGCTTGATCCCTCGATAGTTAGAACAATCTTGAGCGTCTCCTTTGTTTTTATAAACCGGGACCAAGGTGCTCTTCCTCCAATCTTGCGGGATCCTCGTAGCCCTCC